TAGCTGATAAATTTATGTTTAAACATTGAGATTTTTGTTACATTAACTTTAAAGTTACTGAAGAAGCCTGTAAGGGAATTCCTGTGAGGCGGCTGGTGAATAGACGTGCGCATGTGCACAGAACTGCACGATCACGCACACGCACGGTGAAGATTGGCACCAGACGGACTACTTAAGAGATGCCTCTGCATGTGCTGAGTGCTGACTGGTCTTCAGCTGTTCCCTGTTTCCTGCTCATTCCTGTGTGTGATTTCCTTGTTGCTGACCCTGCTTGTTCCTCACCTGACTCTGATCACTCTCCTGCTTGATACTGGCTCCTGACTTCAGCTCTGCTCCTGACTTTGGCTTGCTTCTGATTTGGTACCTCGCTGTCCGCCCGTTGATGACCCTGGCTATTCCTTTGACACTGCTCCTGTCTCCTATCCTTGCTTCCTGCCTTGCTCTGGTGCACACCTGGGCGATCTACCATACCAGCTCTGCATACTTCTACTATGCCTGAATCGGAGGTTCATCAGTATTCCAAAGTCTCCAACTGCAAGAGCTGCAAACAACATCTGCTGGCGCTCTTGTCCCCCTGGTCCCTAGACACCCTCTGTTCCACTTCCAGCGGGGTCAGGGCTAGTGACACAAGTGAGGCCAACCTCGTCATTTCAGTCTCCAATCAGGTACGTGACAAAGCCAAATTGTTCCAGTTCTTGGAAAATATTTGAAAAGGCTATTTTTGGGTTAGACACATATATAAGTAAATCATCAACAAAGATACTCAATTCTATTCCCTATTGCCCATCCGTACTGCCTGAATAGTATCATTCGACCGAAGGGCAATCGCCAAGTGTTCCATAGCCAGGATTAACAGCTATGGAGACAGAGGGCAGCCCTGTCGAGTCCCATTTGAAATTTCGATAGGTTAAGATAGGATGCCATTAACCCTTGTCCTGGCAGATGGGGCATTGTACAATTCCATTATTTTTTGTATAATTTTATTTGAGAAACCTACTTGTTCCAAAGTTGATATCATAAACCTCCAATCTAAGCGGTCAAAAGCCTTCTCCACATCTAGCGACAGGAGTCATAAAGGAATCCTAAGTTTTCAAGCATATTGTATTAGTAAGTTTGTTTTTAAAATATTGAAACTTGCCTCTCTATTGGGGACAAATCAGACTTGATCTAGCCCTATTAAAAAGGAGATCATATTTTAGATCTACGTTTATTAAAGAAATGGGCCAATAGCTAGATCCATTTACTCTTTAGCTATTATTACAATATACAGTGGGGCAAAAAAGTATTTATTCAGCCACCAATTGTGCAAGTTCTCCCACTTAAAAAGATGAGAGAGGCCTGTAATTGGCATCATAGGTAGACCTCAACTATGAGAGACAAAATGAGAAAAAAAATCCAGACAATCACATTGGCTGATTTGGAAAGAATTTATTTGCAAATTATGGTGGAAAATAAGTATTTGGTCCCCTACAAACAAGCAAGATTTCTGGCTCTCACAGACCTGTACCTTCTTCTTTAAGAGGCTCCTCTGTCCTGCACTCATTACCTGTATCAATGGCACCTGTTTGAACTTGTTATCAGTATAAAAGACACCTGTCCACAACCTCAAACAGTCACACTCCAAAACTTCACTATGGTGAAGACCAAAGAGCTGTCGAAGAACACCAGAAACAAAATTGTAGACCTGCACCAGGCTGGGAAGACTGAATCTGCAATAGGCAAGCAGCTTGGTGTGAACAAATCAACTGTGGGAGCAATAATTATAAAATGAAAGACATACAAGACACTGATAATCTCCCTCGATCTGGGGCTCCACGCAAGATCTCACCCCGTGGGGTCAAAATGATCACAAGAACGGTGAGCAAAAATCCCAGGACCACACGGGGGGACCTAGTGAATGACCTGCAGAGAGCTGGGACCAACGTAACAAAAGCTACCATCAGTAACACACTACACCGCCAGGGACTCAGATCCTTCAGTGCCAGACATGTCCCCCTGCTTAAGCCAGTACATGTCCGGGCCCGTCTGAAGTTTGCTAGAGAGCATTTGGATGATCCAGAAGAGGTTTGGGAGAATGTCATATGGTCAGATGAAACCAAAATAGAACTGTTTGGTAGAAACACAACTCGTCGTGTTTGGAGGAGAAAGAATGCTGAGTTACATCCAAAGAACACCATACCTACTGTGAAGCATGGGGGTGGCAACATCATGCTTTGGGGCTGTTTCTACGCAAAGGGACCAGGATGACTGATCCATGTACAGGACAGAATGAATGAGGCCATGTATCGTGAGATTTTGAGTGCAAACCTCCTTCCATCAGTAAGGGCATTGAAGATGAAACGTGGCTGGGTCTTCCAACATGACAATGATCCCAAACATACTGCCCGGGCAACGAAGGAGTGGCTTCGTAAGAAGCATTTCAAGCTCCTGGAGTGCCCTAGCCAGTCTCCAGATCTCAACCCCATAGAAAACCTTTGGAGGGAATTGAAAGTCCGTGTTGCCCAGCAACAGCCCCAAAACATCACTGCTCTAGAGGAGATCTGCATGGAGGAATGGGCCAACATACCAGCAACAGTGTGTGCCAACCTTGAGAAGACTTACAAGAAACGTTTGACCTCTGTCATTGCCAACAAAGGATATATAACAAAGTATTGAGATGAACTTTTGATATTGACCAAATACTTATTTTCCACCATAATTTGCAAATAAATTCTTTCCAAATCAGCTAATGTGATTGTCTGGATTTTATTTCTCATTTTGTCTCTCGTAGTTGAGGTCTACCTATGATGCCAATTACAGGCCTCTCTCGTCTTTTTAAGTGGGAGAACTTGCACAATTGGTGGCTGACTAAATACTTTTTTTGCCCCACTGTATGCCTCTTGTGACTGGTCAGAGGGAAGATTGATGAAATCTCATTACACATATTGCCCAGAAAAAAAGTAAGAGAATCCGCAAATTGTTTATAGAAGGTTCCCGTGAATCCATCTGGTTCTGGACTTTTACCATGCTTTAAGGATTTAATAACCGACATGCCTTCCTCTGGTGCAGAGGGATTTGAGATACTTTTTACTTGTTTCTCTGTCAATCTAGGTAAGGCTGTTTGTTTTATATAGTTATTAAGTTGAGAAGAATTATCTGAAAAAGATTCTGTTGTATTTCTAATATTATATAATGAAGAGTAGTAATCATGAAAGGTTGAAACTATTTGCTCTGAAGCATGTACAAGGCCCTGCTGTGGGCATCTCATCTTTGATATAAACCTGTTTGAAATTGTTTTTTTGAAATTGTGCAAGCTAGAGCCCTACCTCTTTTATCGCCATATTCATAAAGGACACATTACTCGAATTCTCTATTCTTTATCTATGCTTGATCAATAATGCATACAGTTTATCTCCGAACATGGTGTTTTTATGATAGCATCCAAAAAATTCAATTTGGTCTCATATGAGCACACTATATTCTCCCAGTATTTCACAGGCCTGTCTAAATCTTGTGCACGAAACTTTAAACAAGCTTCAACATGCTTTTTCTTCAGCAATGGGCCATGGTTGTTGAGTGCATTACTTATTGTTTTCTTTAAAACAATTGTACCTGTTAATTCCAGGTAAAGCACTCCACAAATGGTCCTTGGCTTTTGGACCACTCTTCTGATAATTATTTTCGCTCATCTGTCAGAAATCTTGCGGAGAGCACCTAGTCACAGCCAGTTTATGGTGAAATGATGTTCTTTCCATGTCCGGATTATGGCCCCAACACTGCTCACTGGAACATTCAGAAGTTTAGAACTCCTTCTGTAACCAATGCCATCAGTATGTTTTGCAACAATAACGTTTCAAAGGTCTTGAGAGAGCTGTTTTGCTTTTACCCATCGTGAGATGTTTCTTGTGTGAAACCTTGGTAATGAGACACCTTATTATAGGTCATCAGTTGGCACTGAACCAGCTGATATTAATTTGCACTGACAACAGGCAGGATTGCTTGCTAATTACTGATGGTGAATGTGTGTGAAAAGATTTCAACTTGTGTCTTGGATTCCCATGTCTTCTTGCACCTCCCTTTCTTTATGTGTTCAATACTTTTTCATTGTGTCATTCCATTTTACTACACAAAATGTATTCTCTGAACTTATTTGTTTTGGTTTATTTATATGTATTGATTGCATGGATTGTTACCGACGTGGTGAAAATTTCATGTCAAAAACACTTTTAGAAATATATTTACTGAGAAAAATTGTGATGTGTTCAATACTTATTTTACCCGTTGTAACTAGGGTCATTCATCTTCTAATTCAGCACTGAGTTTTATTTTGTTTTCAACATGTGTAAGGAAATCCAGCAAATAGCTTTAGCATGCCAAAGCTGCATGAAAGATTGTGAACCAAAAATCAACTTTCCTCTACTTTCTATCAAGAGAAGAGACCTTGAAGCATATATTTTTCCAGAGGCTGGCTTTGTTCAACCTCCTTGGGAAGGAAGGTTTTACCATGACAGCAGTTTATTGCAGTATAGTTGAACATTTATACCTTGTATTATTCCTGCAGCACATTTATTCAACAGGCTTGCCACTTCAACAGCTTTTGTCAACATAAGCAGTATACGTGAGGCTTTCCCATATTGTGGTTTATAAAAGCAAATTATTATTACAGAGTCATTCTGCCGTGATAGCTTGTTGTGAAGTCATGTGAAAATGGCCTGGGCCTGCATCATTTCCATGTACAAAAAAGTATGGGTAGCAGGATTCATGTTATGACCAATCATGGTATAATAGGCAAAGATTATTGAACATTATTCTATATTACATATGTTTTCAGCTGAAATAATCTAGTCCGTTTCCATAATTGCATACACATTTTCCTTTACCATATCTTTACCATACATGAACAGGTCAGTTCTGTTCCTTATAAGGCACTCAGCCTATTAAATGGCAATACATGAAGTAGACTGTATCCATTACTTTAACTTGTTCAGTCCCTTGCCCATCAGACAAGCAAATACTGTCATCACCATCTTTGGTTTCACTTCTACTAGGTCATCAGGCAGAGCATATATCCGGGCTCCAATTTTTCTGGCAATGGAAATAGCATACCTTTAAATAAGAAAAAAAGAGGTCATGCTACTGATAAAAAAAGAGGTAATAATTTGTACTATAATGTGAGAGACACACGGGGCTGCATCATGGAACATTGTGAAACATTATTGTCAAACAGGTTATCACCATTCATCACACAATACTCAGTGATCATCAAAATAAAAGTGTATAGCAAATAATGACTTATGAACTGCAACTGTTGAGTGACAATCAACCGCCCAAAAACTGATGTTTCAATTTTCGATTACAGAATTAAACTACCTAAGAATTTCTTATATCTTTCAAGGATGGCAGTGGCGATATGTCTGTGTGTTACATCTCCCACTCTCCCATACAATTTTTTAAAGGTATTCTACACAATGAAAAGCACAGCAGGAGGAGCAGAAACATCAAAATCTCCAACAACTTCTTTGTCCTGACTCACCAATGTACTCCATCAGCGATGTAAGTATACAGAAGGGTTTACTGGTACTCTAATGAAAGCAGAGTATGGAATGCTGCACAAAGAGTGTTGTACGCCTGTACACTGTCCTACCAAGTGCTGATAGCCTATATATTAACATTAATTTACTTCAAGCAAGGCAAAAAATCTCCATTTAGTAGGGAATGTTTGTTTTGCACAGGATGAAAGATAATATGCTATATAAAAATAATATACCCACCATTAGTTATAGAATTCCTTGTAAATAGCACGTTGATGATTCTGCCTGGACACTGGAGCATTCCAAAATGCTCAAGAAGTGGAACAGCGATCAGGCAGAGTACTAGGATTCTCAGGAACCCTTGGGTGCCCATTTACAGGGTGGCAAAGAACCCCCTGAATACTGTCCAGTACTTGCAACTCCTATTCATGCACTACTATATACCCCTCTTACATCAACATAATAAATAAATAACTTACTTTGCATTCCCCATTTTGTCATCATCTGAAAGATTAGCCCTTTTTACCATCTCTGCATTGACAGCCTTAGGTGCAATGGCATCAATTAAATCAAGCACAGGCAGGCTGGTGCTAATGGATTTATCCTGAAAGACAAGGTTTAACACAGTATGAAATATGTACATATTTACTGGTCAGACCAGGGGAGACTTTTTCTGTAATGGATATATTGCTCACTAAGCACTGGATGATTTGCTGTCGCAAACAAGGTACTTCACCTGTCACTCAGGCTTTGTGAGGATGTTCCGTGTCTCCCAGCTGAATTACATTTTCTGTTACATAACATCAATAAATAATGCCTTGTGATACGAAAACACATTTAAGAAAGTAAGAAATCATGGTTCTAGATTAAAATTTTTATTCTATTTATATGAATCTGCCACTCATTCTCGACTTTCAGCATTTGTTTTTTTTTTAAAGCCCATTTTCAACTAAATGCTTTATTTTATTTTGGATAGAGAAAGAAAAGGTGGGGCCTTTTCCAGGTTTTCATTGATCCCTGTTCCCCTAATATGGAGATTTCCCATTTCTTCAAGAGGAACAAGACATTAACAAAACATTTCTGACAGCATTTTTATTACTGTCCATACCTTCCTGAACTTTCATTAAACAAATATTGAATTTGTATTGTCTTTAGCCCTTCCGTAACATTTACAAAAATACAAGCCTTCTTAACCAAGGAAAAAAGGGGAGATTCCTGATCATAAGCCAACATCCCCAGAACAACAAAATAGTGAGAAATGAGGGACCCCGTAAGGGTTGGGACTTTAAAGGCTTAATTAGCACCACAACATTATTTAAAAAAGTACAAACTTTTTATTTGTCAAAAAATAGTTGTAACACAGACATACAATACAATACATCATTCAGGGTCATAGTACAGCATCAAAATCAGAATATGAAATTACATGATAAGGATACCCAGTATGACTGTGTTTTACTAGCCAAAATTTATTTTAATTTCACCATTAGTATACACAACTGCAGAGATATTATTCTAATTGAACCAATGCATTTCGGAGTGACTTTACTCCTTCCTCCAGGAAAAGAGAAGAACTCTGCATATAGATGACATTATAATACATAAAAGTGCAAAAGGAATGGTTGATTAACCACTTGCTCTCAAAACGCATTGAATCAATTAGAATAATATCTCTGCACTTGTGTATACTAATATATATTTTTTATGGTTAGTCAAAGACAGTCATACTGGGTATCCTTATCATGTAATTTCGTATTCTGATTTTGATGTTGTACTATGACTCTGAATGATGTACTGTATTGTATATCTATGTGTTACAACAATTTTTTGACAAATAAAATGTTTGTACTTTTTAAAATAATTTTGTGGTACTAATTAAGCCTTCAAAAAGTCCCAAGCCTTAGGGGGTCCCTCTTTTCTCAGCCTTCTTAACCAATGACACCACCATGCTACTAATTTATTCCTTAGTAATCTCTCAAATACTGCAGCTTCCTCTGCCTCTACACAGACTATCCCTCCTTCAGTCTATCATGAATGCTTTTGCCAGACTCTCCATCTCACTACTTGTTCAATGTCCACCGCCCCTCTCTGCCAATAACCCAACTAGTTTCTCTTTGCCCAACAAATAAAATTTCAAAATACTAACAACATACAAAGCCATCCACAATACTGCCCCAAGGTACATCACAAACTTTAACTCAGAGTATCACCAAAATCAAGCTTTCAGGTGATCCTCGATATCTCCTCTCCTCAGAAAAGCCACCTTTGCCTAAAAACAGTACGTTTGCTTTCTCCATCCACTCATCCCCGCACAGGTAACACCTTTTATATTACTTGCCCCTCCCTTTTAGATTGTGAGCTCTCATGAGCAGTGCCCCTTTAACACTCTTATCTTGAATTTTGTTAGGCCCCTTTCACATTCGGAACCTCTATTCTCCTCTTGGGAGCATCAGGTATAAACAGACATGTTTTTGTGTACACCTGCTGACATCCAATCCTATCCACCAAAGAGATGGATGGGGATTGTTCCCTTTTCAACCATCAGATTGGATGGCAGTGGGATGGAAATGGATAGGTGGTCCACATGGAGCTCACCGGCCCCCTGAGCAAGGACCACCTGTGTGGCAAGGAAGGAGCAGCCCAGCTAATAGGCTTGGAAGCAGTAGCCAACCCGTAAGTGGTACAGGAGAGAATCTGAGTGAGTACACTTGCACCCCCTGGGCGGATAGGGAAAGGACCACTCTGGTGGGAAACCAGATTAGCACCCTACTAGTGACTGTTCATCTCATTTAAAGGAACAGGAGCCAGATAGCCTGCTCAGGAAAAGTCTCTAGATTGCTGGGTGAAGAGGAGTTCATCTAGGGTCTGGAGTACCACTAGGAGATACTGGCCAGCACTCCAACAGAGACTGTAACAGAGAAGAGAAGCTTGTGAATAGTTCCAGGAAGTTTGACCTCAATTATCGGTCCCATTGGGCATCCAATACCCACCTTACCCTATCCCAGTTCAAATCCCCTCAATAAATAACAAAACCAAAGCTCAAAGACTGATTTTCTGACTCCAGATGCAAGCTTGTGTGGAGAATGCGGAGTGCCTGGCTGTGCAGGACTATAGAAGGACCCAATTAATTGGCAACCCCTAATGGGGTAGCGCTACATACAGTGTACACATACATATTAAAACATAATTATAAGATTATTTACATCAAGCTGATTTATTTAATGTTCATATAAATACACATTGAAAAGACTGGACATTCCCTTTGAGCAATACAATGCAATTATAATATAGGCTTTGTTACATTTATTACCTTGAAGCTGTTGATAAAGGTGTCCTTGTTAGCAGCTCTCAGAGTTTCATTTACCCCCAATTTATAATAGTTCTGTCATCAATCTTTTCTCCTTCTCCAAGATCACATAACACATTTAGTGTATACCTAATAGAAGACAAACTTCAGGATAAAATACCTACATATGTGCTACAATGTGACAAACATTAAAGCATCTTTATTGATTCCATGTGCAGAATGACCAGAATGATCAGAAGATGCTGCCCTATAGTTTGTCTGTCCTAAAAGTAAACACATATAAATACACTGCTCAAAAAAAAGTAAAGGAACCCTTTTTAATCAGAGTATAGCATCAAGTCAACTAAACTCCTGGGATATTGATCTGGTCAGTTAAGTAGCAGAGGGGGTTGTTAATCAGTTTCAGCTGCTTTGGTGTCAATGGAATTAACAACAGGTGCACTAGATGGGCAACAATGAGACAACCCCAAAACAGAAATGGTTTTACAGGTAGAGACCACCGACATTTTTTTCCCTACTCATCTTTTCTGACTGTTTTTCACTAGTTTTGCATTTGGCTGGGGTCAGTGTCACTATCGGTAGCACGAGGCGATACCTGGAACTGACAGAGGTTGCACAGGCAGTCCAACTCCTTCAGGATGGCACATCAATCAATATGTGCCATTGCCAAAAGGTTTGCTGTATCTCTCTGCACAGTCTCAAGAGCATGGAGGAGATTCCAGGAGATTAATCTAGGAGAGCTGGACAGGGCTGTAGAAGGTCCTTAACCTATCAACAGGACCAGTATCTGCTCCTTTGTGCAAGGAGGAACAAGACGACCACTGCCAGTGCCCTACAAAATGACCTCCATCAGGCCAGCAGGTTTCAAAATGTGTCAGCCTTTTGGATCATCTATTCCCAAAAATGACTTGTCCAGGGAATAAGGTCACTCTCATGTATTGTCTGATCGACATGCCATTTGTTTTATGTCGTTTATGAGTACACTTCTGCTTTTTATTCAAAGTTAATATTGAGGTAATGTGCTATGCTGGTGTGCCTTCTGTTTTTTATGTCTTTTCAGTTGCATCTCTGGTTTCTCCTGACCTGTTGGAGGGCAACATAGCCGGTGCCATCTTTGATCTACTCAAAGGCCATTCACTCTGTTAACAATCCCATGGAGTCAACACATTGCTCTTGAGCACTGGAGGTGTTTTTCTTGTGGTGTTTTGGGGTTTTAATTTCTTTTGGGAGGTCCTTTGGAAGGGCTTGTGGAAGGGCTTGTATTAAAAAAAAAACACAGCCTTGAAAATGGCTAGCGCTAAATAACAGAATTAGTCTCCCATAGACATCACTGAGGTTCACTGAGGTTCACAGCTAATCTAGTGGTTTGTGGAATTCTCTGGATTCTAAAACTTTACTCAAACTGAACCCAGGCAGATTTTCACATCCTTAGAAATGAGACATCAATGAGAATCTGATGCATTAGGCTGGTATAACAATATACATATGACCAATGTAATATTTCCTGTTTCTATCATCAGCAAAGTTTAAGTCAATTTAAATATACATTTATGGTCATTTTTAAATAGACATCATTAAATATAAACCAATAAAGGTGCAACTACAATTACAGGACCACACTGGAAAATCTCAGCAAGGGTCCTCTGATATATCCAAGAATGCTTGAAAGTTAGGCCATGGGTTACTAGTTTGGAATGGGGTATATGTTCTTGTTAATCTCCCCTTTAGCACATCCTACTACAGGCTTAAAGAACAGATAGCTACACATTAAAGGGGATGTACAATAACACAAAATACTTCTTTCTATAAACACATACTTGGCAAACAGAAGTAGCTGCCCTGGGGACCTCTAGGGCACAGATATCCTGGATAGCACTCCTTTTAATAAACCCCTAGTACAGCCATAAATTTGTTTTTTTTATTTTTCACACTGCTGTAAATGTATTTGTATGTTCTGCGCTTATATAACTGGAAAACAAAAATTGTAATCTAATAGCCTACAGCACCCTCTGCTGGATTTTCTTTGTTAAATAATCCATTTCTGGATTTGTATGATGGCAGAGGGTATCCAGTGAGATTTGTGAATACCTAAGGCTCATCAATAGGCCAAGTACATTTTGTCACCACAGGTAACTTAGCTCCCTGGGCATATTGTTTTCAGCTTGGTTAATGTGAATACAGGTGTTGATGAGTATAGTTATTAAGTGTTCTTGCATGGCAAGACCACTTACTGTTATCTCACATATATATATATATATATATATATATATATATATATATATATATATATAATTCTTATTATTATAGCCAAATTTACCACCCTAACTCTTCCCACAGGTTTTACACTACATAGACAGTAATATACCGAAATGTGCAGATTGTTCCCGATTGGTGTGCTATGACTTTGTGGAACGTTTCGCCGAATGGTTCACGAAATATCGGCGTTTTTGTGTGTGAAATTGATCCCATAGGAATGAATGGCAGAATGTTCAAGACTAGAGTGGGAGCTGAAAAATCAGGACATGATTTCTAAACTCCACTCCAACCACACAACAGTTACTCTACCCACTCCAGTTGTAGACTACTGGTGGAGGCAAGAACACTTCACACAATTTCCCCCAGAAATTGTAGCTTTTCTAGTTGTATATATTGTTTGTGAGTCCTTACTGTCTATGTAGAAGCAGTGGTCTTTCTACAGAGTTCTGACATGCCTGCTGCTGACAGGTATATACACTATAATACCAAAAGTATTGGGACGCCTCCCTTTACATGCACATTAACTAGCATCCCAGTCTTAGTCCATAGGGTTCAATTTTGAGTTGGCCCACCCTTTGCAGCTATAACAGCTTTAACTCTCCTGGGAAGGCTGTCCACAAGGTTTAGGAGTGTGTCTATGGGAGTTTTTGACCATTCTTCAAGAAGCGCATTTTTGAGGTCAGGCACTGATGTCAGACGAAGAGGCCTGGCTCACAGTCTCCACTCTTATTCATCCAAAAGGTGTTCTATCAGGTTGAGGTCAGGATTCTGTGCAGGCCAGTCAAATTCCTCCACCCCAAACTCGCTCATCCATGTTTTTATGGACCTTGCTTTGTGCGCTGGTGCGCAGTCATGTTGGAACAGCAAGAGGCCATCCCCAAACTGTTCCCACAGAGTTGGGAGCTTAAAATTGTCCAAAATGTCTTGGTATGGTGACGCCTTAAGAGTTCCCTTCACTAGAACTAAGGGGCCAAGTCCAGCCTCTGAAAAAAAAAAACACACACCATAATCCCCCCCTCCACCAAACTTTACACTGGGCACAATGCAGTCAAGCAAGTACCGTTCTCCTGGCAACCGTCAAACCCAGACAAATCTTTCAGATTCCCAGACAGAAAAGTGTGATTCGTCATTTCAGAGACATAAGTGTACAATCCAAACGCACACATTGGAGTGTTAAAAATGGCTGTGTATAAGTGGGTGCTGCTGCAGTGACCATCAGCTGGAATCATAAACGGAGAATGTCACCAGCACACCGAGGATCATAAACATGGTAATATGTCTTGGATGAAGCTGCTCCACCATGGAAACCATGAAGCTCTCTACGCACTGTTATTGTGCTAATCTGAAGGGCACATGAAGTTTGGAGGTCTTTAGCTATTAACTCTGCAGACAGTTGGTGACTTCTGTGCACTGTGCGCTTCAGCATGTGCTGACCCCGCTCTGTCATTTTTTACATGGCCTACCACTTTGTGGCTGAGTTGCTGTTGTTACCAGTTGCTTCCACTTTGTTATAATACCACCAACAGTTGACCATGGAATATTTAATAGCAAGGAAATTTCACGGATGGACTTATTGCACAGGTGGCAGCCTATCATGGTACCACTCTTAAATTCACTGAGCTCCTGAAAGCGACCCATTCTTTCACAAATGTTTGTAGAAGCAGTCTGCATGCCTAGGTGCTTGATTTTATACACCTGTGGCCATGGAGGTGATAGGAACAGCTGAATCCAATGATTTGGAGGGTGTCCCAATACTTTTGGCAATATAGTGTATGTGTCTGACTGGGATAAGCCACTGGTTGTTAGGACGTCAGTGGTTGCCGGATCCCTAACAACCAGGACCCCTGAGCAGGAAGCTGTCACATACCGTTACTACTGCTAAATGTTTCATTTTGCCCTGCAGCTGCAGGTTCCCTCAATCGAACACCCATTTACTTGGCTATTCACACAATAATTTCCACAGGCTGTGTACAGTGCTGACTTCTCCCTCATATTATTTTCCCTGCTGGTCAAATGCTCTTAGCCTATGGTATTGGGCTACTTTCCCAACTGATGAAAGTCCTTTTAAGTAAAAGGCCGAACGTTCTTAAAGGATAAGTTCACCTTTCGTAACATGTTACATGTTACACCCACATTCAGGATGTAACATGTTACGATCATATTACAAACATTACGGTACTATTTGTTACTTTTCCAAAATGATGAGACATTCGCAAAGCAAATTTTTTAAATATAGACCCCTGAATTATGAGAAGCAAACATTTCCTTGTGAAGCACTGATAAACAATTTAATAAAATTAGAAATGCTAAAGACCACAATAGAACATTGAAGTAATTATTTTAAGCATAATTAAACCTTCAGTTTAAATCTGCTAAATAGATTCCAGCTGAATCAAAGCAAATTTTAGGCTCCTTTCACACGGGGCAGAATCCGCTTGCTCAGTGGGGGATCTGTCTGCTGATCCCCTGCTAAATAGAGTGGAGCGGGTGGGTGACAGGTCCGTGTCCACTACACTTATGCAGAGAGGAGAAGGACACAGCCCATTCTCCTCTATGGGCTGTCAGGTGTGATCTGATCCACCCAGACAGAGGGAAATGGATCCATTTACATCCACTAATCCATAGAGGTGAATGGAGGGTTTGCTCTGAAAAATGGACAGGCGGACCCAAATGGATCAAAGTGAAAGGGACCTTTGAGTTTGTTTTCTTTAGAAAGCAGCCACAGCCTGAGTAAAAAAGCTACAACCTGCTGTAGAAAAGGACTTTTGCTCACTGAAGGGAAACACTGAGTGGTTTTATTTGCAGAGTTCTGATATGCCCCTAATGAATCAGACCTAAAGCTGTACAATCAGGAAAGCTTATATGTTCCACTGGTTGTAAGGCTCTGGTTCTGAATCAGCAGCACTGCTTCTGCACAGACAGCAAGCATCCCAGGAGCCTGTTGAGACTTAGATGAACAATGGCAGCCCATGTAATTCCCTCAAAACAGGTTTTTCTCCAGACATACACTGACAGACAATAGTCATTTCATATTAATATTCTCCATTTGCTGTGAATCACAAGACTTACTGCTGTGGCAGGCTGTATTTCTGCACATTTTCACAAATGGCTATGCAGCTAACCTGCACATTTTATTATTATTTTAATACCTATCTACTTCATCTACGTATCCATCTATAACCTATATAAAGGAAAATCATGCTGAACAAAATCACACAGCAAAGTCTCAGTAAATGATCACATGGAAATACATTCATTGTACAAGCAGCAGTAGCAAATCATAGTACAGTATTTAATGACCTTGGTAATAAAAAGGGATTGTCAGTTACCATAGAAGACTTTTACTGAAAAGTGAATAAATAGCCTGGGGTAATACAGCCTCTTTCACTTTGATCTTAGTTTTAGATTTGGATAAAAATAGTCTTTGCTGTTTTTTCCTTGTACAAGTCAATGTGAATACAAAGGCATGGAGCTTAAAGAAACTCTAATGCCTAGTATATACTAAGAGTTTCTTTTTTTTTGTTTAGCCCAGCGGGCTGAATGAAAAAAAAAAAACTGAGGAGCTTGCGAGGAGGTCTCTGTACTAACTATGCAATGTTAGTACAACAATCTCCCTGCTGAGCTATTGTGTTGTAATAGGGGGACTGCCCCCCGCCAGAGCACACCGATAAGCGCTCACAGCTAATGGATGCCAATCGGTAGATGTTTTTCCAGCAAGCCTTTTTGACAGAAGCAGGATGTTCGGCCAGCTTCCGTCGGACAGGCTGTTGTACGCATGGGCCAAATTTTGTCTGGTTTCTGTTATACTGACTGATACCGGCCAATATTCAGCCCGTGTGTACCAAGCTTAAGGCAAACCAACTCAGAAGTCAACACAACTTAGAAGCAGCAGAAAGCATACTGCATTTGCCTTGCTTATGAACTTGATATTTGTGCACATAATCCCAAAAACAAGAGTTGAGAATGATCTATTTAAAAACTACAGCTTAAGAAACGAATTCAAGAAAGATCTGGGTTTCCCTTGACTGTCCTGATTCCCAGATAGCAGATATCCAGCAATCAGAGGCAACTCAAGTTGTTAAATCTGCCAGCTGCTCCAGCCCTCAGTACCGATGGACCAATTGTTATATTTAGGAGCTGTAAAAAAGAGTTTAAATAGATCATTCTCAACTCTTGCTTTTGGGATCATGTGCAAGGATATTAAGCTCAGAAGGAAGGCAAATGCAGTATGCTTTCTGCTGCTTCTGAGTTGTGTTGACTTATTTATGAGTTGGGTTGCCTTAAGCTTGGTAAACACGGGCCAAATATCAGCCAGTATAAAGCCAGTTCAGCAGAAACCAGACGACATTAGGCCCATTTCAGTCTACAACTTCATAGTACCAGCATAATTACAATTCATTCTGAACAGCGCACCAACACAATTGTTAATGGACCTGTGTTGCAGAGAACCATGCATTGCAGTGTGGTACACTGCCCAGAAATAGTGCATGCACCATTGCAATTGCTTGCATCTTTAAGTGAAATGCTTTACCTTTACCTTTGGCCATACACACACACACACACACACACACACACATATATATATATATAACATACATACACACACAGTATCTCACACATATGAGGGTATAAATGTGTAGCATTGTTGTGTGTAGGTACATTTCAATTTTCAATGACTTACCTTCTCATTAGCTGCCACACTAAGGCCAGAGTGAGGGTACGATTGCCTTCATAAAGGTTCTGGCCACCTATACCCACTAAGGAGAATCTAGCTTTGCTCCTTCCCAGCTCAACAGCATAATTACAATTCTCTATCTAAAAAAAAAAAGGAAATATAGCCAGTTTAATTTAATATGCTGTGTGAGGGTCTTTATAAAGTGTATGTAAAGCCAAAACCCTTTTGTTTTGTTTTTGATAGAGTTATGTCGGTCATAGATGGTTCGAAAATCGGGCGAAAAAAAAAAAAAAAATCGGCCGATTTTCGCACTGTTAGTGGGTTAATTGGTTGGCCATTTTTCGTTTTTTTTGCACAGTTTTTTATCGGTCATGTTGGAAAATTCGTAGCCGATTTTCCTGGCAATGATGGTCAAATCGGCCGATCGTTTTACCAATAAAATATCCACGCATGAGCCATGACCTGCAAGGGACAGAAGTTATGGGGTGAACTTTATGATTTAGTCGGCCAATTTTTTTTATCGTTGGTGGTAACGTCGGCCGAACAAACTACCGTTTTTTTTGTGTTTTTTTTTTTTTTTTTTTTTTTAAATCGTCCGAGTTCAACCCGTCTATGGCCTGCATAAGGAATGGTTAAAACTCCTACCAGGTTATTTTTTGCTGCCAGTGTCCCACTGGAGAGATCTGTGTCCACACTGATACATTTTCCCTTACTTATTACTCTGATAAAGGCTCTAACTTGAAATTTCCTACCACTTTCTGTCTCAGTGACAATAATCAACAAGAAAATAAAGGTATAAATCTCCCCAGCAGGGTCACAGGCAGCAATAAAAAAAAGTGATGCATCAAACAATACTGCAGAGATGTTTTCAAAACGATGAGGGTAGGTGCGCAACTAAACAGTGGTGCTGCATAAATCTGCCATATAGAAAAAGCCAGCGTGCCAAAATTAAATCCAAATAGAGTAATTTACTGAAGTTCCATATCACAATAACATCGTTTCAGGAAGACGACGGTCCCCTTCATCCAGGTGACAGACGGCGCAAAATTAACAAGCAAAGTATAGATACATACCAATAGATAACAGGTGAGTAAACAGTTGACTGCCTCCAATTGAGTTGCTAATGCAAGAGACAGGGGGAACAATTCTCTAAAGATTATCGCATGAGTTAAGGCAGTCACATGACCACATATCCTATGCGATACTGACAATGTCAATTCACTATTGCTAGTATGCGGTATTTACTGAAAATAGCAAAAGCACTCGGTAAATGGCGCATAAAAAGGTCTTAAGATCAATTCACAAAAGGAAATAAATAATTAACTGCATGGGGTAATTAAGTAGTGGTCCAGGCATGCAGTATGTACTGGTATCTGTCAGTACAGTCATGGGTTGTTAAGGAATGGGTGGCCGTGGAGTCCTACCACATATGAATCATCAGACGTCAGCATGGTTCCCCACTGACAGCTGAAAAGAATTGCCGGCAATTAAAAAAAAAAAAACGGTCCCCCCCTCCATCCATACCGAGCCCTTTGGGTCACACCAAAATAAAAAAACATAGCGTGGGGGCCGCCCAATATCCATACCAGACCCTTATCCTTGCATATAGCCTGGCAGGTCAGGAAAGGGGGTGGGGGCAAGCAAGTGCCCCCCCCCCAACCTTACCAGGCAACATGCACTCAATATGGGGGCTGCTTTGGGGTGGAGGGGCTCCCCTCCCAAAGCACATTGTCCCCATGTTGATGGGGACAAGGGCCTCTTCTCCACAACCCTGGGCTGTCGTTGTGGTGGTCTGTGGGCAGGGGGGGGGTTTTATCGGAATCTGGTACTGCTACCCATTCACACAAAAAAAAACTGTAGTGTGAAAAAAAGACAGGAGAAAGTCTTTGACAAGCCCTTTATTAAAAGAAGGAGAATAAAAGAATGTCCCCCTAGGTAGATCCAACATCAAGCACGATGCCCACTGCCGCTACCCGTAAAGAGAAATATACAAGCCTAAGCTCTC